GCAGACCTTCTCTGGAGCACGGCTAGCCCTCCGGTTGCTCTATTGAGATGGATGGGAAGAGGAGGTGATGGGAAATGTGTGTGTTCACAGACTCTGGCAGCTGCCATGAGGAAGCTGTGGGACAGTGGCACAGTCTGGGAGTAAAGTGGGCTCCTGCATGGCTTGCTGAGAGGGTTTAAGAAAACCCAGAGTACGGTACAAAACTGTTTTGCAGACTTCATTCACGCACATGGCCACCCAGTCAGTTACTGGAACAGCCCTATTTCTACCTTTGAGTGTTTGCAGTTGCAATGGCAGCCAATGTAGCACTTTTAATTTTCTCTGCAACACTCCCACCTCTTTGGTAGCTCCCTTTTCTGGCTGAAGGTGTTCAGGCCAATGACCTCTCGTAAGGCCGAAGCTAGTTTAGGGCATGGTGGTGATGGGTTGATGGTGGGACTAGCTGATCCTAGAGGACTTTTCCCACCTTTACTGTGTCCATGATTCTATACTTACAGCTACTTTAGGTTTAAAAAGATGAAGGACTAATGAAGATGACAGGCTTTGTGCATCTTCCTCATATGCAGTGCCTACCCATGTTACTCATTAGAGGTCTTCTAAGAAGCTTGCTAATCTGGTTCTAGGTTTCCAGTCATGCTGATTTGTGCCAAATTCTGTTGTGTCACATACAGCTGTTGGGTGACAAGATTAGCTAATGCACACAGTGCTGTACAGCCTGACAGATCCCCCACTGCTCTGATACATCCCATCTGTCCTATGTGCTACATCTGGAAAGAAATATCTCCAGTGTCAGAGCTGTGCAACAGAACGTGGTCCAGCATTGCAGAGGTAGCGATTTCCACGCTCCATCCAGTGCTGCTTTCCTGCCTAGGCTCCTGCCCAAAGAAGGGATGCACATTTTGGTTACATCTCAGAGCTCCCTGATTCCTGTGTTTGTAAAAGTCTTTGTGATGGTTAAGCCAGAGTAGGTCCATCGGTGACATCTGTTCTTCAAGCAGGTGCTGATATATCAAACTGCTGTCAAAGAGCATCTTTTATAAGGTCCGATCCGAAATAAAGAGCTTAGGCTCTTAGTGCCACTGTAAACATCAGTGTAGCCCTGTGATAGAGATGCTGCCATGTCGTGTGGATGACGTACTGGTACGGCCTTAGAAAGGCTGCTCCTCCCGGCAGCGGCAGGGCTTCCAGCGCGGCCATTGGCGCTCCCGCAGCGGACGGAATGCCAGCCGTGGTCTCACAGCGCCGCCCAGCGGCAGGGATCAGCGGTGAGCCCTGCTGGGCTGCTCTGCTCCGGTAGCGCGTTTGGAAAACGTGATGTGGGAGTGCAGTGTGCCTTGTGCACATGTGCGCTGTGAGGTTAATGCGGACCGTCCTCCCAGCTGCTAAAGCAGCACAGAAAAACACGTGCAGCCATAGGCATAGCTAACAAATGCAGGCATTTGGTTGCTGAAACTGTGTGAAGCAGCCTGGCATACCATAACCATGCCCTGCATCCCCTGCCAGCTACTGACTTGTGAACAGGTCAGTACCAAAACTACTGCTATTACAGCATGATGCCTTTTACATGCAGTAGAATGAAAGTTGTGCAGATTTTTGAGTACAGAAGGTCGTTAACTTAAACACCACGTCAGCCTGAAGTAACAGTGCTTGCTGCATTACATCACCTCAGAATATACGACACCCTGGCTTTATATACTATGAATCTATCGCTAGTGTCTCTAATAATTACTTGATACAGAGAAACATTTAGTGAAGGCTTATATCAAAGTAAAAACCCAGCTCGTCAGTTTGCATTCTAGGCAGTAAGTTGTTAGGCCTCAATCCTGCAATCTGGCCATACAAAACTGTGAGATTAGAAGTTGGAAAATTCTGCTGAAGTTTGACAACCATTCAGACCAGAGCTGCTGCCCCTCAGTGCTGTCCATGTGTAACTTACCTTTCTAAATCCGTGGAGTCATATCCAATGCTACCTAATAAGATATTCACAATTAAGTCTGTATTGATTTGAATTTTAGTTACGTTTATTTATATAGTACCAACAGGCTTGGGTAAGCAGCAGCTTTAAATCCAGTTTTGCCCTAGGTAGCAGTGTCCTGGGCATCAGTTTGTCTCTGGTTATACAAATGTTTTGGATGTATTTTGCTCTGTTAAGCAAAACGTGTGCTGCCAAAGCAGTTGAAGTTTGTCTAAAGCCATAAATAGAAGGTTAAGTCAAGTGCAAATCTTAACTAACATTTTGAAATCCACGTTTATGAGCAGGTCGGCTCCTGTATCTGATAGTAAGGATGAACTCTAAACTGGTTGAGCAATAGGGAAATGAAGCACTTGGTCCTGCACACAAAGGACTAGCCGTGTCTGAAGCCTGTGGGGACAGTTAGCACTTCTTGGGACAAAGATGCTCAGCATTCCACTTCAGCCTGTATTCCAGCAAGCTAAACAAGCCATCAGTTTCAGTGTTACAGAGATGTAGATGTGGGACTGTCAAACATTGCTCTGTGCATTGCACTGTAGTCAGGGGTGTGAGTACTGCAGGTGCACTTTAACTGCATGAGCTTTAATCCTGGAAACAATAACTGTCATGAAGTCGGGCTGGACAGGCTGGCAGTCAAATTCCTGCTCAGCACCCCAGCAAGCAAGGCTGTGCAAATGCCTCCTCCACTGATAGACTGTGACTGCAAAACCACTGCTACCCACAGTGCTTGGAAGTGCTCTCAAAGAACAACAAACTAATTAGGAAAATGAACTGCACATGAGGATTCTGTAAGGGCAGTGCAGATGTTTCTTAGAGAAAAGCCCACAGAGCAGAACACACAAGATAAGAAAATCACAATGTTTAAGCAATTTGTCTTAGTGAAGGCAGCTTCCATTGAGCGTAACAGTGCTGTTTTATCTTAGAGGAGAGCCTCTTCAGGCTTCTTTTTAACATTTTTTCTCTCAAAGCCAGAAGTGTTCTTAAGATTACATCTTCACTGCAAGCTCAGAGGAGACTGCACTTTCCTCTTGCTTTAAGGACCACCACAACCAAAGCATTACTGAGAGGAGCAGACAGGGCTTCAGGCTGTCGTCCCAGTCAGGCTGCAGGCTGGGATGCACACAGCAGCCACACGCCATCGTCACTCACTATAAAAAAACTTTGTTCAGGTCATCGGGATTAATGCGGCCTGGAAAATTAATGAGCTGCGTAGCAACTGTCAGAAGGCTGGAGGTAAACAGCGCTTAGAGACAGAAACTGTCCCAGCAGAGGTCACCCGGGGTGAACTCTGTGTTTTAAAGGCTTGTTTGACTGGAGGACAACGAAGTCCCAGAGCCCCAGCACTGCAGGTGGCCAGAGAGCCTGCTTTGGCACGGGTTGGACTAGATGATCTCTGGAGGTCCCTTCCAGCCCCTACAGTTCTGTGAGTCTGGGTGACTCTGTGAAACTGTGCTATAAAACACATTTCCTCCTACGAGTTGCAGGTTTGTACGGACTAGCTGAGAATCATGTAACAGCATTTCAAGGAGAGAAACTACTGAGAAAGCGATTTTTAGAAACCCAGTACGTGGACAGGGGGAAGGGGTGAGTTCTGTTTGCTTTTTACAAGCTTAGGTTTCCTTAGAGTAAGGACTCAGTTACACATAACCACGAAACAAACTATCTGCCTCACTTCATTTGAACTCTGTTTGCTGTCCTTCTTACACGGAGCACATTTGGGCATGGCAAAGCACAGCAACTGCTTTAAAACTCTCTGCAGTCTATGAACATCATCTCTTACCCCAACGCCTCTGCCTTAAGCAGGCTGTAGACAAAGCAGCCCAAATGGCACACGCCAGTCAAAAAATAGAGATGAAAAACAGGGAGTAGAGCTCTGCCTCCCAAACGCCCTTGGCGTGTCTCACATATCTGGCAGACAGATCAGGAATTCAGTGTCACAGTCTGATTAACCTCCAGTCAGTTTCTAGTTTAATTTGAAAGAAATAGGATAAATTTACATTATTTTAATGTGCATCCAGATGTTGAGCTCCTTACTGCTAAGACACTTCAATGCAAGTTCACTGTAACTAGACAATGTAAAACGTAGATATTTCAAACTAAGTCTTAATGCTGAAGTGACTACAGAGAATAAGGCCTCTGAATCTGCAGCACTGCTTCCTGACTCAACTGAACAGCACCTTGAACCATTTTGACTTACAGACTCCTACGGACGCTGCACAGGATTGGCACTGTACCGTAAGCTCCTCTTGCTATGCACCCAGAAGCAGCTTCCAAACATCTTTGTCCAACCAATTATTCCACTTTTCAAGATAGAAAGCCCCCAGTTTTCATATTAAAATCACAGTTCCTTGGAATCCTTCTTGAATGTGGTTGAGACGTGCGTGCGTAAGACTCTTAGGATGTGGAAAAAAATTAGCCTATGGTTTGTGATTCATTTTCAGTAAACTGCTCTAAGCAGATGCTATGAAATTTGCACCCACCGCTGACTTAAATACTGACATGACTCCCAATGGTAGCTTTTTTTACCTCTTGCATGGCAGCTCACACCAGACTCTCCCAGTAGTTGCTTTAAGCAGACGTGTGACCTTCGTTATGCATTATTACAGTCTTTTAAGCAATAATAAGGTTGGGTTCAAATATGAATTGTATCTGGGAATGAGTTTTTACAGAAAACTCGAGCAAAGATTCAGTAATGCTTTACAGCACAACTTTCTTGCAGAATTGATGTCATCTGAAGTTACGTTGTCAGGTGGCATAAGAGATGGCCGTTACAAACCTGCATCTGAGAAAGCAGAAGCCCTGTAGTCTGTGAGCAGCGCTGTCGTTCTGGAGCACCAACATGACAGTGCTGGCTTGGTGACACGCACACTTTTCCTGCAGTGCTGTGCAGCCATTTCTCCACCACAGGCGTTTTGCTCTCACCAGGAGCGCTGTCTGCTCTCCCTACCCAGCTGCTGAATGCTGCACAGTCTTTCACAGTCACATTCTTTTTGAAGAAGCAATACAAACTGTACTGTGGTGCCAGTGCTCTTGTGAGAAACCATTTATTTCTAAGCATGTAACATGGCAGGTTTAAAAGCAAAACAAGAAGGCTTTTTTATTTCCACATAGAAACAACCAACAAACAGTTCACATTGCTAACAGAGCTCCCTGGAGCTGAGCGCAGTGCTACCAACCATGGAGCCCAAACCCAGAGGAACAGCTGCAGCTTCCTCTGCTTCAGGAGCCATCCGGCATTCTTTCCTCAGTTGTGCAATACTGTATCTTTAGCTATTAGTTTAACAGCAGCAACAAACTCCAATCTTGAAAAACTTTGACCTTCTTGGCAAACATTCTTAGAACACTGAAGTCTGAAGTACTTGTCTAGACAATATTCTCTCCGAGACATCATTTTTGTATTTCAAAAAGTAATGTCCTATAACTCCACTGTAAAACCATGTACAGTTACAGAAAAGACAGAAGTCAATACTGACCATTACCACAACGTAACAAAAGCATTGGTGAAACCTCAGCCTGGGTACTGGAGGTTTCTGCACCTCTTCTAATTTGTCTCTAAGAGACTATCTGAAAGACAGCCAAATGTAAATACGTCGTAACGTTAGCTGGAGAACAAAAGGTGGCAGTGCTCTGTCATTCTAGATGTACAGGATGTAACTACAGTATCTTCACTGTGTATTAGATGTGTCTAGGATAATTGTTCATGCAATTGCAAATTCTGTATTGCTGTCAATTAAAAGTGTAAACTACTGAAACCTTGGCCTTGCTGGTATGAATAAAGTGGTTAAAATACCCATCTTTACAGATACAGTCACGTTTGTCTTCCTTAAGACATGAGAAGCCTAGAATGACATTCTTGTTTTCACTTTAAAATTTTAAGCAAGAAAACTGTTTTGAAATGGGTTTGAAGTCACAGCTTAAGCACATCTGTCTGAATCTTCCCAGTGCAGCTACAACAACTCGGGGTGCATCAGCACCCACACCAGTGTTATCCTACAGCACCACCACACGGGGCAGCTCCTACCTGAACTGCACGCGGGCTCTTCTGCATCTAGCCCTGCAACGGCCTGCGAGCATCAGCAGTCCTACCTGACAGACATCACAGCGATTCTATTTTGCATGTACACAAATAAGCTTACGCTTGAACACAGACTATAAACATACATACATCCGAACACTGTTTAAATGAGAAGATGTAAAGCTCCCAGGACAGAGCTGATACATCTAAATAAGAAGGTAGCTGCAAGTTTTGCACTGTGCAGAGAACAACTAACTTGAGGATGGCAAAGGATCACGCAGTTCACAGAAGGACCAAAAGAAATATCATTAAGCAGTGATTGAGAAGCATCTTCCGGGCTCATTTCTTGACATAAACATTATTCTTCAGTGACACTTCATCATGAATTCCAGGAGATGTGGGCAGACATCCCTTGGTTACAGCAGAGTGCACAGAGAAGGGTCAAAGCAAGACAGTGCAGCGCATTCCAAGTACCCTCTGTGCTTAGGATAGGCACATGGAAATGTGTCAGTTCCTAAATAAAGGCACCAGGAGCCTCAGAGGATCCCAGAGGAATGCTGCCCTCACAGTTCTGCTGCTGCAGCACAGCTGGCTTTCAATCAATGTCATCTCAACATCTGTCTTTGTTCCATGCTCCCCGTACTTCAACATTTTTACACTGGAATTCAAAGTTTCAGGTGATACAAGTGTGCATTTATCCATACGTCAGTACAGAATCAAAGGCAAGTCACTGAAATGACGGATGACAAATCCTTCCAGAACCTGATCATTTCACTTGGCGTGATGCCATGCACTGCAATCAAGCGTCGGTATTTACAGATATCGAAATTAATTTTATCAATAAAGAATTGTTGATTACCTTCTGGAATACTGATGGTCACCTTGAGTATATTTAAGCAAATTCCCACATAAACATCCTCAAACTTTATAGGTTTGATATGACCCATCAGTTCATAAATCCTCAGAGCCAGTTTTCCATCCAGTACGTAACCCATCCCACTGCAGTATGGAGGATAAAACTTGAATGGATATTCATCATAAGAAATGTATGTTTTTTGGTAAAAGCCTCTGTAGGCAACGTTATCTATGAGAGGGTAACCTGTAAAAATGCTTTCTGAGGAGTTGAACTGCAGAAGAAACTTCACTAAGTTACCAGTGTTGATGAAGACATCGGTGTCCGTCTTCATGATGAATCTAGCATTAGAACAGAACTCAGACACCCATCTGAACGCCATGATTGTTTTCAAGGTAAGATTGTTGTAAGTGTCCACAAAATCCTGGCGAATTATGTCACCATAGAGAATGATTTCATCTTCCACTGACAGTGCTGCAGAACTGTCCTCTGTTTCCGTTTCCTGACCCAGTAAGAACAGGGTTAGAACTCGATGTCCCCACCAGAAGCTTTCAGATCCCCATGTTATCCTTATGGCTTGCCTTGACTTCACGTCCTTAGGTCTCGAAGACACCAAGATGACCAGAAATGGATTTATGTCTTTGCATTTCAAGTGTTGACGCGACGTGAAGAGGTAGGCTTGCTTGTACACCGGTTCATACTCATAGAAATACATGCTGTTCACGTGCTCAACCACAGCGTTTGAAGAAAAAGTAATGTACCACATGGTTACAGCAGAAAATATGAGAAGAAAGAAAAAGATCCATTTCAATGGGATCGTGTGCATGACACTAAAAGGAACCGGGCAGTAACAGGAGTATGTCAGTAGCCTTCAAAATCTGTACCACAAGTTCTGAAGTACGTCTCTTACTGAAAAATAGATGAAAAAGTAGTGTTCAGAATGCTGTTGTCCAAGCAGTACCTCGTTCTTACCGTGCCAGCCAAAGTGTGCTGTAATGAGGAAGACAAACACAAGAATCATTGGCCCAGCTGTTACATGTAGCATCCTATGCACCATGAATCAATCCTGTATCCCAGAGCACAAGCAAAATGCTGAGCTGGAAGAGAGCATTTCAGTGAACAACATGAAAAATATCTAACTTACATCAGATAGAGCAATGCTTAGAATTTGATTTTATATAAATAACAGTTCTTGGGATTTGACCAATCTGAAGTAAAACACATCAATGTGTGGTCAGTTCTTGACAATCTAAAGGAAAAAAAATCTGGTGATAAAGATTTCAATTCCTTACAGAAAAGCCTGATTCCGTGACATTTTGAGCAATAGAATCAGAGACCAAAGCCTGATCTGATAAGCAATGGAAAAGCTGAGAAACAAGGAAACCATCTCTTCAGGTCCCTTGCCACACCGCGCAGAACACAATCTTAAAGCTGCCGTATCTTTTCTACGTGCCGGCACCACACAGCATCCAGAACAAGAACTGCATTCGCTGCAACCAGGAATCCTTCTGTGGAGCTGTGAAAGTTCAGCTCAGGTTCCCAAAAACCCTTGCAGTCCTGCCCCACCCTTCCCACCCCTGCCCTTCCAAACCCTCCTCACCGTCTTACTCATCGAAACACCAACACTGAACCATCTTCACCTTTTTTGGACATACAGCAGCTAGCACAGAAGCAGAGCGTGCAGCCACAGAAGTGAGAGCACAGGATGTGAGATCAGAAATGAGTCCTTGCAGACTGCTGGCAGAAGAGGGCAAATGAAAAAAAAGCCCACGCTAGGTATTGTGCCAACAGGACCATCAGCTCAACATGACGGCCAACAAAGCATTTCTGCATATGTGAGGTCACGTTCCCTAAGTGATACGCTGACTGTCTGCAAGTTAGCACAGGTTCATCAAAATAAGGCTTTTATAGTGGTCTGTGGGTGGGCACTACACTCCCTGAAACACCAGACAGCTGTTCCTGTAGTGCCCAGAATCAGTAACACGGGCACGCACCTTCCAGCTTCCAGCAGCAGAGCTCTGCCTTCAGACCCGTGATGTAAATAGAAGAAGGGCAGGTTAAAGGGGAAGCCCAAGCCCTCACTGCAGCAGGTGGCAGAAAATTTCCCTTCTGTTCTTACATCAAATGCTCAAGCGAAAGAGAAGAGGCAGAGGAGACGAAGAGCAGCTCAAGGGCTGCTCCTCTCAGGATGACATCTGTTTCCAGGCTCACAGCTTGCTGGAAAGGCCCCGCCAAGGTGAAGTCGCCTCCACGTGTCGTCCCACGGCTCACCGCAGGACCGGAGGTGTTTTTGCAGGAGCCCGGGCTGCGCAAAGCAGCGCCGCGTTCAGAGCGGCTCGCAGCAGCTCTTAAGGACGCTCCGCGCTGCCCGAGCGGCCTCTCTTTGCTGCAGGGAACCTCTTTTGAGAGCGAACACCCACAAGCCACCATTCATTAAGAGGACGCCTGCTGCCCTCTGCTGAACTCCTCAAAACTTAATTCGCTTTCACGTTCACGTTAGCAAAGAAAAAGGCCAAAAAGTTGTCGGCGACTTTTCTCCTCGGCACCTTCGAGGAACCGCCGCCCCCGAGCGGGCAAAGCGCTGCGGCACAGCGCGGCGGCACGGGGCTCCGGCAGCGCCCGGCACGGCCCGGCGGGGGCGGCAGCGGCCCGGCACGCACGGCTGCGGCTCTCGGCACCGCACGGCCCGGCCCCTCGGACGCAACCCCTCCCTCAGCTGCCCGCCCGCCATTACCGTGCTGCGCCGCGACGTTCCGCCGCCGCCTCCTGCTCGCCAGGCGCGTCCGCGATGTCGCGTAGGGCGGAGCGGGGCGGAGCGGCCCGCCTCCCCCGGGTAACGGCGCCGCAGCCGCCTCGCCGCTTCCCGCCGCTTCCCGCCTCGCCGCTTCCCGCCCGCTTCTCGCTCACGGCCGCCTCGCGCCTCACGGCCGCCTCGCGCCGCGGCCCGCCTTCCGCTCGTCTGGCGGCTGTCTGGCGCCTCGGCCCTCCCGCCTCACGGCCGCCTCGGCCTTGCTGAGGCTCCTGTGGGTTCCAGCGAAGGAGATGTTGTTTAACTGAGCTCGGCCTCCTTCAGCCGCAAAATTCACCGCTGTGAGATCTGCCCTCAGAGCCTCCCCGGGCGCCCCCGCGGCCATTACGGCGTCCTGCTGCGGCGTTGTGGAGAGCAGCCCGAAAGTGTTACGGCACGGGGGTCCTGAGTCCTGACATAAGGCGAGCGGGCTGCCCCGTGTTTTACAGCTCTAAAACGAACATCCGAGCAAACCTACAACAGTAACCGCGCCCCAGCAAAGCAAACGCACCTTTGGACGCCCCGAGGCGAGCTCTGGTTCCCACACGTTTTGCATGGCTGCTCGTCTCCCCATCCTTCAATTCATTCCTATACATTACTTATAAAGAAACACAAATGCTTCCTTCCGTGGTTTAATACCTCCTGAAAGAAATCCTACACGTAATCCACGTGTGTTATTCAATATGAAAAATGCACTACAGTGAGCATGTCTCTGCCATCTGTTGCTGCCCCCAATTAGTTCTGGTAAAACCCCTTTAGCTTCAAGAGAAACCAGCTTATGACTCGTCTGCCGAGGCTGAGGTTCATTTTACTCACTGTAATATCAGGGCAACCCCTGTCATGGGTATCACAACGACTACCCGTATCAGCAGCTTATTTAGCCAAAAGACCTTTGCATCTTTTTTGCTGGTTATGTGTTTTCTGAAGCACAAATGTACTGAGCCCCACGGGTCCATTAGGTATAAGGGCCAAATAAGCAGTGAAGCGCTCAGTGTGCATCAGGTTAGCGCAGTGTAGATCTACCAGCTGTCCAAAAAACGGAGGCTCAACATGATTCCAATAATATTAGACTGAATTTTCAATTTCCTCTTATTTAATCTATAGCTTAGAACACTAGTTTAAAAATAATCCCTTCTGATTCAGACTCAGATGCTTCCCTCTTTCTTATTCCTTTCTTAAAGGAAATCAATGCAGTATCTGTGAGCAACAACAGGACAGATGATAGCAAAGCTAACAAATGTCAGGTAGCTGAATCCCACCAGAGATCAGATCTCAAGATCTGTTCTGAGACTGCATCCTGCGTGGTGCAGTTGGACGTGTTCACACCAACATAACTCAGAGTTTGTAGTCACAGCAGAGCACTTTGTGCAGGAAGGAACAGGAAGAATAACTACTGAGTCAAAGGCAGCCAGCTTTAGAGCACAACACATTTTTAAGTGCAGGGCTAATACAGCTTGATTGAGTCCGTGTGTACCTCCACAGGCGAACATTAGAAACCACTTGAGATTAATGCCCTGCTGGGAGACGAGATACTCTGGTGAATCGGGAACTTTGTCGTTCCATGGGCTGATGAGCCTGGACAAACCAATAGGGTTTTCCTTCTCACTGGCTGTGTTATTAAGTTTCTTCTCCAAAAGGGATGCGGTGACACAGTGAGGTCTCTGTGGGCACTCACTGAGACAGCTGCAGGCGGGTGGTGGATCTCTGGACTGCAGGGTTTGGGTGTATAACCTGAATCAGATCACTGCTGATTCAGAGCACGCAGTTCTTCAGCAAAAGAAGAGTTCCTATATTCTAGAGGATGGTCAAGTGAGTATGGCTCAGTGTTTGAGCATGTTTAGAGACCTTTGGGCTTTGTGACCCATTGCTACATTACTCACTGCAGTCCCACCCACGGGCTTGGCATTGAACATTACACCTTCATAAATACTGTTTGCATATTATCAACTCGATAAAAGCCAGAATGTATTTGTACAGAGCTTTTACTTACTTTTCATAGCACAAAGCAGCTGCTTCCACTTCCTTTTCCTTACTCTTTGTGCTCCGTCTGACGGAGGAAGAAAGAAGTCGTACTGATAAAAACTGGCTCCACAGAAGACAGTGGATTCCGCCTCTAAAGGTTCAATACAGAAACCACGGCACAAATGGGCCTCCACATCACCAGGCACTCCAAAGTAAAACAAGCTAATATACTGATGTTAGGACTCGATTCGGCAGGGAAATCTACTCTGCTGTACAAGTTCAAGTCTGATGACGTTTTTCTAACGATTCCAACAATTGGCTTTAATGTCGATATGATCGAAACGGGGAAAGATTTTACACTGACTTTTTGGGATGTTGGAGGACAAGAGAAAATGAGACAGCTTTGGTGCAATTTCCTGGAGAATGCAGAAGGACTCATGTATGTTGTGGACAGCGCTGATAAGCAACGTCTAGAGGAATCAAAGAAAGCATTTGAACTCCTTTTAAAGAATGAATCCATAAAAAACGTGCCGGTCGTCGTGCTAGCAAACAAGCAGGATCTGCCCGGAGCTTTAAACGCTGAGGAAATAACCAGGAGATTCCACATGAAGAAGCACTGCTGTGACAGAAATTGGTACGTGCAGCCCTGCTGTGCCATCACGGGAGAAGGTCTGTCAGAAGCTCTCCAAAGGCTGACTGCATTTGCAAAACACTACAGCAGATCAAAGGAGATCTCTACAAGTTTTAAGCAAAAGGAAAAAAGTTAAGAATTTATGCCGTCAGATTTTGGTGAATATGACTCAAAATATTTTATAAGACTAAAATATTTGATTCTGGAGGACTCATTTATAAGTAAATAAATATTTATAATGCACTGGGACGATTTTAAATTATGTTCTTATACCTGCAGATGCTTCTGAGATACGGCAGATATTCTGAGATACGGCTTTTATTAGTGGCACCACGCTCAGGGTTATTCAGCTCAGATGTGTGTGCTGAATGGTAAAAGAGGCAGAGTTGACCAATTTTTGTAGTTGCAAAGAAAATAGGTGAGCAATGCTTAAAATGTTTGCGCCAAGTAATTCATCAAAAGGTAACAGAGCCAAGCAGTTCATTCAGTAAGAACAGCAAGAGATAAGATGTTGTTTCATTAGATGTACTCTGCGGATGTGTTCGTTGCTTGTAGTTGTTTGTAGCCTAAGCTCTTAGCTATGTGCAAAAAGAAATGTAACATTATTCAGTATTTGTTTGGATACTATTGCATTCTAGGACCGATTACTATGAACAGATTTTAACAAGCAGCATCTGCTCCTGCCAAGCCACAGATAAATCTGCTTGTAAGGGGTAGGTCTGCTGTCACACTGTTACCCCCCTGTCCCTCTGCTGCTGTTTGGGGCTGCTGGTCAGCTCTTAGAAATCAGGACGGATCCTGTCCTGCCTGTAGCAAAGCCACCTTAGATTTTGTTACTGAGTAATTTAGTTCTGATTAAATCTGACATAAGAAGTGCAACAAAGTGCTGATCCTGTTGCTACAGCTTGGGGATTAAAAAAAAAAAAATTGAATGAAATTTCTGTTGAGTCTTCCTGATTCATGAAGGAGTGAATTAGTATTCTGAATGCTTTAAAGCAACGATGGATTGTTAACTAGAAGACTAATTGAACTGTATCGACCGTGAAAACAGTTTAAATGCTAAGATGGAAAAGTTAATAGAGCCTGTTCCTTCATAAGGAAGTGAAAAAGACCGTTGGTTATGTAGTTATTGGTTATACAATCCCAGAACATCCAGCCCATCTATTTCTGCCTTCTTGAGCCATGTCTGCAGAGGTAGGATGCTCCGGGGCTCAGGATGTTTGCTTAGACACCTGGATTTCTTCTCCCCTGCATCTATCACAATCGCTGGCCATGTCCTTCAGTCACTCAGCAGCCCCTTGGCAAAAGGATCTCTGAAAAGCTGTGGCAAAGCTCAGCACGTGTGCCTGGTGTGCAGGAAGTTTGCATTTCATTCTTAGTAATAAACAGGCAGGAATTTCAAGTTGCAGAAGGGTGAAGAAGTGAGTAAAGCCCCCAGCTGTACCCTGCTGTCTCATGCATGCGTTATTCACAGACGAGAAGCCATCAGGTGAATTCACTGCAGTAGTGAACAAAGGAAGCTTTCTCAGCAGAAGCTGTTATTAACACTGACAGCAATTACTGTGGGCTAAATCCTGAGTCATGTTGAGCCTACGTTTCCAAGAGCAGAGCAGGTCTGCAGACTCGACATTGCCTGGGCTGTTCATTCAGAGTCAGTGTAAAATACCTTCTAGCACAGAAAATATTTCTGATGAATGCGCAACCATGGAAATGTTGTTTTTCCAAACTAAATTCAATGTTAAAAATGTAACATTTCAGACCAATAAATTTATAAACATTTGTATGAGTGTGATTTAATTCTCCCAGTCATTTAATCTGATCAGGTATCGATTACAAATCAGAATCCAGTTCACTGGCCTCAGGACTTCCTCGTTCAGCAAGGGATTTAATGAGTGTACCAGGGTCTCTAATTAGACAAGAAGTTCTGAAGGGAGAAGCAGCACAGTATGATTAGACCCAGTTGGCAGAGCTAAAATACAGAAGCAGCTCTCCGGCACACAGTCGCTCCTCCAGGTTATCAGATTAAATGATGCCCACATTGATTTGAAGCAAATCTTTTACATTGCACTTCAAAGGAAATAAGACTTTTTTACATTCACTTAATATCAAGTACTTTTCCTATTTGTATTTTTTGTAAGGGCTTTCCTCAGGAAACGAAGCCCTGGCCATTTTATCTGCCTGTGGAGACCCCTTCCCCTGGATGATTTTGAAGCCTCAAAACAAATATCAATCAAGCTGGACGTAGCGGAGGATTCTCAAAGGAATTGCATGCTTGAAAGTTTAATTAAAAAAATCAATGATAGAGAAAAGGGACCACACTGGTGCCCCCACTGAGGGCAAGGCTGATAAGGTACAAGAGACAGATCTCCCAGGGGATAAATGCTCCATTTTAGCATTTCAGCCACAAGAGAGCCAACAAGAAGACAGAAATCCACAGCGCGGACTTAATTAGTTTGCCTGCTCCCAGAGCTCCTCCTGGTTGGTATTTTTCTATACTGTATGGATGAAGTGTACTGGGCTTCTTTGGGATGAGCACACAGCGGGCATAGAATCCACTGTTCAAAACTGCCTTTCTACATCTGGAATAAAGCATCTCCTTGAGAACCCACCACGTCCAGGGCTGTGGAGAGGCCTATTCCATGGGTAAGAAGGTGCGGAGGAAGAGCAGCTTGTAGGAGCAGAGAGCAGAGCACGTCTGGGTGGGCCCTGCAGCCAAGGTGGCACATCTCCCCGGCCCACAGCCAGGCAGGGTTTGTGCTGAATGAGTTGTCAGAGGAGGAGAGCGGGGCCTCCTGTGCCAGTTGCCACATCTGTGCCTTCTGCTCTTGTGCACACAACGCAACCCAGGGCGCCGTCTGCTCCCTGCTGGAAGCCTGGAAGTTGTTTGATACCCGATCCCATCACAGGTCACGTGTGAAATTGATGGCAAGGAAGTTAAAAAGGCATTTCACCACTCCATCCTGCTATGGGGAGCTTCAGATCATTCAGCTGCTTGGCTGAAAAATACAGTTAGCAGAATAGTGTATATGTTCAAGAGCACAACCAAACTGAATCCTGCTTGTGCTAAAAATACAAGGCACAGCATCACAAGCACAGTTGATTTCTGGATAACTTTTATTTTGTTATTTAAAAGCTGCATTGGATACAAAAGCTATAAGGATCCTAAAAACAATTTTAGGATTCTTGAAGGAAATGTTCAGGGTGCCTCGAGAAAGCAAGAAGAGTGCTGCCCCCTGCTTGTGCAACAGGAATGTCAGAAGCTGCTTTTTCATACTGCAGCCAAACTGAGCAGCAGATCAGATGCTGTGTGACTGGAAAAGTTTGCTTGGGGGAAGGTTTTAAAGGCATTGGGGATCTTGCCAGCCTTCTATGATGATTCTGGGTTTGGAACTCTTTTCATTAGCTTTTGCAATGAACCACACCCTGACTGCAGGTCCTGACCTTTGGTTCCTGCATTTCTTATTGATGCATACTGACAGTCTTGTGCAACTGCATGAGACAGGCAGAAACATCAAACATGTTGCAGCTGCACTGTAGGAGCCCTCCAGTGTCTGCTATTACACGAATTTGGCTGTGCCTGTTTGTTTCTGCTCAGAACAATCATCCCTGAACAAGTCAATGGTGCATAGCTGAGACTGTGAAACACAAAGGGCAGGATGTGAGAATCCTCAGCACGCTGTATGCTGTCAGCTGTACAGGAGCTTATTCAGTGGGAAATGTTTGGGTGTGATCATTTAGAAGCTAACAAACATGGAATATGGGGAAACGTCCTTCTGACCACACATTGATGACTGTGGTATAAAATCACAATTGTCCTCCTGAATTTTGGAACAGATGTCACAGAGCTGACTGAACGCCATCCCAACAGGACTGAATGCTGTTTTAAGGGCAGACAGGGAACAACCTAAGGAACCACGGCACATCTGGATGGTAACACTCCCTCCTTCCTCTGGGAAACAACTCCTCCAGTAGCTGAATACTCTGCAGAATCAAAGGAAGGAATAGTGCAGAAGAAATGCAGGACAAGGCTTTCTCAGTATCAGGTACTCTAAGCCGATCAAGTTACCTCACATGTCTCTATTCCCTCTCCTTTCAGACAACTAAACTCCAATAATGGAAGACTTTCATATATTGAAACAAACATCGTCTGCTTTTATTTGTTCAGAATATTTAGAAGCACTGTGTGCATGTTGAAGTAGGCTTTTCTGTTAAAGTAAATGACCCATGCAAAGTTCTGTGCTGCTACAACTAGAGTTCTTGCACTTGTAAGTGACTCAAGTACTCCTATTAAGCACAGGCGTAAGGAATCTGGACATTTAAACCTCATCAGATCACAGTAGATTCTGTAAGTCTCTGTAATTCAGGATATCAAGTCTTGAGGGTGGAGACCCTACTTAAAAAGCACACACCATCCTCTGGGTAACATTTACAAATACAAATTCATAAAACTGTAACAACTTAAAACAGGCCTTATTTTGAATACATGTGACTTCAACAAATCACGCTTTACCTCGTGACTTCCTTCCTGCAGAGTTCTGTGACGCTCTTGTCCTGCTCACAGCACTGCACAGTTTACCTGCAGCATCGCTGTGCTACATCTGGAGCGAAGCTGGGCTGCCATGAAGGGACACCTCCCACCCCCCTCTCCTCCCTGAGCCCTTCCCCAGCTACACAGTTACACTTGCAGGTCTCTGCACAGCAGAAATTTTCTCACTTTCCCACTGCTTCAATAGTTACCACAGAAGCAATGGCAGTTTTTGTGGTCTTTTTATTAGATTTTCATTGAGCCCTGTGTGCTTGCTCTCACGCTGCTCTTTACACTTGGAAACAATAACCCAAATGCATTTACAGAACTGTTTCATTGTTTTCTTCCAGATCCTTCCTTAAAGCACTCCCTTCCCACCACGCATTCAGAAATCCTGACAATAGCTCTCCTGCTTTTATGATACGGCCTTGGCCCATATTTTTGACAACTATTTTATTATTTCCTCTTTTAGCCCCAGAATGTGCTTTCTTTGGTCCAAAGATCATCTTTTTGTTCTGCGTTTCATATAGTTCCTGATTGATGAGAAGAGTTTATAGGTTATATCCTATCGCTATTGCCCCAGTCCTGTGGGATATCTGCAAAAATAAGCCATTTTTGAGTTAAAATAAACCATGAGGCTTCAAAATCTAAGCCTCGTGTATTTGTCCTTTACAGCAAAGATAGTTGGAGGCAGCAGCAACACCTGCGCTGCTCCAAAGCCAATCTCCCTAACAACCACGCTTGGCTGTTAAAGGGTAGCTGTGCCTTAACACTGCTCAGATACTTTATCTAAGGTACACACATTAATCACTGAAGAATGCTACTCTCTCAGCCCTCTCTTAACTGATTTGGAATTCTGAATTCATGAGAAAATCCCTCATTTCACTTTGACATAAAATAAAACACAAAGGCATTCTGTAAGCAGCTTAACAACTACATGAGAGATGAACGTCAGCTCCGTCAGTCGGGTTTGATGCCCAGAGCCCTTCCTCCTCTGGATGCTGTCATCTCACCTCCCCACAGCACAGGGCCGTGCATTTTGACTGAAAGCACCTTTTTCCCTTGCTGAGGATTTACAGTGTAAGGTTCATTGTCCCTGAACTGTGCAGAGCTGCTGGCAGTAGGAATGCTGATGCACTCATCAGTTACCTGCGCGCGCTGCAGGCAGCACAAGTGTGTAAAAATACAGCTTGATTCACTCTGGTTTATTTCCTAATCTAAGAAGATAAAATAAAATAAGAAATAGTCTGCTTCAGACAAGGTATAGAAGGAATTATGCAGGAGGTGAACTGAGGGAAGATAAGTATGGAAACACAATGGAAGAATACAAAAAAAAACAAAGAAAAATTGGTGAGAAGCGTTCCCAGGGCAAACAGAGCAGTGGGTGCGTGCAGGCAAACTGAGCAACACAGAGCAACACGGACAAACAGGTCATGCTGCAGTCACCAACTCTTGAGCATTTTTCACATTTCCCTCTCGCAATAAGTGTGATAAGAAGCCTCTTCTTGTTCTAAAATCAATATTTAACGCATTCCCGCTTTGCTCACGTACGTAACCACCCAAATATTTCGCTGTGTGCATCACACAAAAGGAGATTTTTTTCATAGGTTTCAGTGACATTCGGCCCCCCAAAGAACATCTCCTTAGAGAAAGTGTGGTACAAATAACTGACTCCCTATAGCAACTCTAAGTAATGCTAACTACTTAATCCCAAATAAGAATAATTAAAATAAGTTGCACCATATCAAAATCAATTGTGGAAATGAAATGCAGTAGCCTAAAGTTGCTCTCCTATCTATCCTACACAAGAAGACACTCGTGTTTCTCAGCTGCTTAGTAAGGACTATGCTTCACACCTTTCCTTTTTTAAAACTAGGGTTTTCCAAAGAGTCATTTGGTTCATCAAGCACTTGAAGTTATCTTTTACTGCCTACACTAATGGGCAAACAAATACACAGTCTTAGGTCTCGTGTTAGCAAAAAGCCCATGTAGAGTTCTGGGTAAAATTCAAGGCAAATACTGGAAGTCCCTGTCTGATTTGAGCAATATTGCAAAACCACTTCGTAAAAGTTCAGTATTTCCTCACTGAGACATCTTGTGGCCATAGGACATACTGCAGTTAATAATAATTAAACTGTAAATTCAAATAGTGACAACGCGAGCTTGAGATCATTTTGGTTTGAGATGTTTATGCAACACAGAGCTAAAAACCTGCACCCTCCTTTTTCAACCACAATCTCATTAATTAGAACAGCAATGAAGCACCTTCAGATACGAACCTTTACAGATATCAATACTTACAGCCCAGTGGTACCAAATGTGGCACCTCAGGAAATACCCACACTTCATTCCACCTGGAGACGACTGTTTCAAAATTACAGCACTTTGGGGAACAGAAACTTCCTAACGGTGCACGTTTTCTCAAAGAGGTGTCTAAGCAGAGCCATGCATTTACTTCAATATTTGACCTGGACAAGAAATCTGCAGCTTGAAACCACTTCAAATGTAAATATTCCAAATCAACTCCAAACGCCACGGACTGAAATGTTCGGCATTCTTCTGTCAGAAGATTTTCCTCAAATAACTTCTTTTGAGGAAATTATTTAGAATTCTCTCATTAACAATTCTTAGTATTCTGTTTGTACCTCACTGGATCATCTCCTCCTCTCGCAGCCCTTCCAACTCATGAAGATAAGTGTACCACCAGTGAGGAAGTGGCCAGAAGAGCTCCCCCGATACGCAGGAGTCCTTCTGTAAGTGAATGATTACATCATTAACACAGAGCCCTCTCCTATATGTTTCTCCCTTTGCTCTGGGGGCTTACAAACCTCACTAACCCACTGGGCACAAAGACACTGTGTATTTCCTTCTAATTAAAAACCCACTCAATACATTAGCAGTGTAATTCACGTATACAGCAAATTGTATGATGTCTTTCATATCTGCTTCACGGGGTTCTGATTTATTTACAGTATGTAAATGCTGAGAGGATTAAAACTGTTCCTATCTCGTGGGAATCCCTCCTGCAGTCTGGTCTATAGAAGGAGCTGTGAGTGTCGTATATAACGAGCTAAAATTAACAGAACAAGCCTGACATTTACTTGAAAATCTCTTGAAGTTTTGGAGCACTGAACTTAATTTTTGAAGAAACTTGATTTAATGTTTGACTGTTGTGCTGCTGGTGGATGGTAGCGTCTTGTTTTAGACAATTCAAGAGTAATTCCATAACAGCACTCACCCCAACCTAGCACCCCTCTGATAGCCAAACTTACCTCCCCAGAAAGTGAATCCTCGTGCCATCAAACACGTGGCTGTGCCCCCACCTGAATGGCTGTCGGTGGGTTTTCCAGTTGAGGCTGTTGTGACTGGGGTGCAAATCACCCACTGGTTCCTTTTCCTAACTCTTGGTCGTAGCCTTTGGGAAAAAAAGTAAACAACAGTCATTCAGATATTCAATAGGCTTTACCCAGTAACACAGATGTCCAAAGCTTAACGACCCGTCAGTGCACAACCCTTGCCTTTTCCCTTCTTCCTTCACTCTCTCCTTTGTTTTTGCTTTTTTTTGTTTTTCTCCGAAAGCAATTTTTATCATGAGAGTAAAATATACACTGGCAGCTGTGGACACAGAAACAAATATTCAGGCAGGTAAGTCTGCCTCAAAATCTTCTGTGTAACAGATGGGAGTGCAAGGCAGCTTTGCATCAGCTTTTTACTTGCTACTCTGTGGGCAAGTACTAGTCATAGTCTACTGAAATACAGCAAGAAACACTGGGTTGACCAACACAGCATCCAGGACTGCCATGCTGCCAGTCCTGTCATCAGCAGCACTGCTTCCCCCCAGTCCTCTCTCTGTGCAGCGTTATTCTCCTGCAGGAACAGCACAGAATTCTGCCCTATCTGTCTCACGGATTGAATATCACCACTGAGAAAGGACAACAGGTACTCCATCGCCTATCAGGATGTAATTATGTGCTCCTAAACCAGAATTGCCATTAACCTCAAAGTGAATTTTCACACGAAGTAGTTAGTGATTCATAACAGCCCTGAGTTACAGTTCGTAACTGAAAGGAGATTTTAATAATATAAAAAGAAGTAATGAACGCTAAAAGAAAGAGTTGATGTAGGTGATCTGATAGAAGTATAGAGTTCTTTAAGCTACTAAAACTCCACGTATTTCAGGGAAATTATGTGGCCATTATTCCCCCTCCAAAAGAAAAGCTGAAACAGAAATATTACCCTTTATCAGACACCAGAAAATAAAGGAGAGCTCAGTCACAAATCCTTACAAGAATGGGCCTCGTTAGTGCTGCTGCTCAGAAGTACTCATTTTCTACATTATAGTTCAACAAAGAGATATGCATAGTTAGTGTATTTTCACATCCCTACTCAATATCAATCCTTCAGCCTTCCGAAATTCCAAAGGCAGTTATGTATTCCAGTTGCCTTGCAAAATTAGACTGAAACGCAGCATTGAAAATAGCAATCTGCATCTGGACATTTACATATTTATTCATAAAAGATGCATCTCAGATCCGATGCCATTTTATACGCTAAATTCTGCTCACTGGCAGTATCAACAGCCAGAATCATAGAATGGTCTGGGTTGAAAAGGACCTCATCATCTAGTTTCAACCCCCCTGTGCCACAAGAGCAGGCTGCAGAGCCACATCCAGCCTGGAAAGAAGTAATACAGCTTAAAATTCAGGTGCTGCCTTAAGTGTCCCTAGCTCTGTGATCCTATTAGTCTTAGAGTCACAGAACACCCTGAGTTGGAAGGGACCTACAAGGATCACGGAGTGCAACCCCTGGCTCCACACAGCACCACCCAAAATCCAAACCCTATGTCTGAAAGCATTGTCCAAACACTTCTTGAACTCCAGTGGCTTGTAGCTGTGACCAGTGCCTTGGGTTGCCTCTTACAGGCCTTGAGTGTTCCATGTCCAATGGGAAACTCATTGCCTAACACTTCATATTAATTTTTAATTATCTAAGCATGCTGTACATAACACTTGTTTTTCAAAATACAGCTCTGAGCATCACTCTCCCACCTGATAGACCAAGGAACAGAGGATATGAGGGCAGCTGACCTCCCCTTTCTGCAGACAGCACAGGAGAGGAACAGGATTCAGAAAACTGAAGTTCCCAGCCCTATGTGCAGATAATAGTTTTCCTTTTAAGAACCATTATGGAATTCACCTAAAGCAAGAAGATTCCCTTCACTGTGCTATCATCAGTGGAGCTACCAGAGGAGAACTTGGTTCCAGGGACTTCTTTAGAAGGGACTTTTTTTTTTTAACATGGAAACAAGATACCCCCAAGCCTTGCAGCTAACACAGAAGCAGCTCATTTAACCAACAATTTCCTCACTTTTTATCTCAAACAAACTTTTTCCCCCCAGTATTTATTAGGAAATTGTTCTCTTTGAAAGGTAGAGCTGCTGAAACAAAGACAGGAAACTCAACTCCACAGTCTGTGGATCCCTGCTTGGTTCTCTTTCTTCTTCAGCTATTTGCAGCTGACAGATTCTGCGATCACTTCCAGCACCGAGAAACTTCCTTGGCAAGAGTTCCTGCGTGGTCCCTAAGTCTGTCTTCAAACGATCTGATCATTAAAAGCCAAAAGTGCAGAGACTGGTGAATTTTCCTACAGTTCAATTTAAATCAAAAGCAATCTCAAAATAGAAGGTTCTATTAAATACAAAGTCATATTAAATCAGACTAACTGAGCTCAGGCACAGGTTCACGTACCGCTCCACACAGCTCTGACAGCCTGACCGTAAGCTCTAACACGAGTGCCTGCTGCTCAGTGCTTGCAGTCATGTGGGAGCCCTACGTTTGTTTTCTAATCACAAGAGCAGATGTTCAGCTGATGTGAATCAGCAAACCGCCCCCAAAGCCAAAGGAACTACCTTTAATTGGTACCATCTGGGGATCTGTTTTGCAGGCCCTCTTTTTGAAGGCAAAGAATGCAGTGCGTTATCTTAGAACTCATCGCACGGTAGCTTCCAAAAAAAATGGAAAAGGAAAATATCTAAAGCTCTTTAACTAGGAAAAAGTCCTCATGATGTGGTGTTTCAAACTCAAACAGGCCGCGTGGGAGGACATCCCCAGGCCAATTATAATACTTAGGCTCTAAGCAAGCACAGGAAAGAAAGCCTGGTGAAGGACAGCGTTAAACGAGTGAGAGCACTCAAACTGATTTGGCACAGTGACATCAACAGCCTTTGGATTTATGGACAGCTGATATGGGCCAGCGCTGAAACCAAGCGCGGGAGCGTCTCTCAGTAATGTTAGTGCACTGTACAACGTGATTACAGTGTCACAAATGGAAAGGTGTTGAATCCCACCGAGTTTTGGACAGCTTAGGACATGTTAGGCTGATTTTCAGTTCCGTGCAGTCCATTGCTCTGAGTATTTGTGTTGCTAGAAAGTAGGTTTCTAAGCACTGCTCCAGCTAAAGGGTAGTTTTTAGAAGTGTAAATACATTAGGTTTTTCTCTAAATACAGCAAAGCTGAAATACAGCGTAACCAATGACTCTAAATTGTACTTGTAAAATGGACCCAGGAAAATAAAGACATGCACCAGAACTCCACAGCTTTTGGATGTGACAGAAGCATCCTGCTGCATGAGAGAATGACTCTTGTGTGCAAATGAATTTAGCCCAAAGATATGAGAGCTGAAACTACTTGCAGAAAATTCCCTAGAAGCTATTTCTGCTCATGCACTGTAGCAGCACCTGTCATTGATTACACGGGCTGTATTACCTTTCAAAGCAGGGTAAATCATTTCTCTCCCAGCCTTGGCTGCAGAGCAGCACTGTGATGCCTTCCTAGGGGTAACTGCAAGGCCTGAGATGAACACAGACACTTGCCAGGGGTGGTTACAAAATGTTGGATTACTGTACTACATGTTATGTACAGTCAAGAGTTTGTGGTTCACATATTTTACTTCTGTCATGCAAAGCTTCCAACAAAAAGCAATATTAAGCAGCAGAGTAACAGTTTAAAAAGCACACTGAAAAAGTGAGCAGAGAGTCAGGGCAGAAGGCTGTGCTTTGTTTCAGACATTCATTTATCTAAGACAGCAGTATTAATGTATTTGTAGCTCAAAAGGGATGACATGCATCCACCCCACATTTCTTCACTGCACAGGCCATCATACTGCACTTTTCACATGCCTCCAGGTGTCAGTAAAAAGTAAAGCCATGATAGCAGTCAGCAATGACTGCAGGAACTCTGCTGCGTTTGTTGTGGCTGCTGCAGGTACAGCACTGCAAATTGACTTACAACTGGAGCAAAGCAAATCTGAACAGCTAACAAAGAACCAGCTAACAAAGGAAGAGGTCACAGAACCTCAGGTTTGTGTGAACATTTTCTAAAAGAGAGAAAATTACAGTCTGGCTCAAACAGTTCAAATGGGTAAAATAGGAAAACAGCACAGGAGATTGCGGGGGCTCAGGCAAAACCCAAAGCCGTACCAAAAGGTGACACCCAAAACACAGCAGCTGGAAATGGCACGTACAAAAGCACAGTTCTAACTCAGTGATGTACAGGAGGACTGAATGTAACAGCAGCACTCAAAGAGTAGAAATCAATTTTTCCTCTTAATCTTAAGAGTTGTGCTGCCTTTTGCAAAAGCACAGCTTTGATTTAGTTCCCCTAAAGCAGCCTGTGGCTCCCAGTTCAGGGGAAGGCCAGAAATACAAGCAGAGTGCATGCTGCTCACAGCCCAGTGCCGTGCTGTAGGTCTGCACAGGCTCATGCTAAGGCTGTGTGCTGACTTGTTTCTGGCACCATTATGCCTCCACCTGCCCTCTCCTTCAGCAGAAAAAGTCTGTCAGCACCTCCATCTCTCTCTAGAAAAGCTTTTGATGTTAAGGAGCTACAGCAGAGCACTTTGGGGACAAGTGAAAACAAGTGCAAAGAACCTGAGCTGCTTCATGGAGCCTGAACCAGCCATAGAGTTTTACTTGAATGGCTCCTATTCAATCTTACGTAGCTGTTTTTTGTAACGATATCCATCTCAAAATAAAGCCCCATTCTGTGAAACCCAGTTCAGTTTTGATGTCTTTCTCAACCGGTGCAGCATTCACAGCTGATCCCAGTCCAAGTTCAGGTATTACTTGGTATGGCTGTTTTAACATCCAGCAAGCTCCCTTGGATTCCAGACTTGGAAATGCTGCTTGTAAAATGAACACATGTATAGCTGTGTTTGCACACCAAACAGAAGATTATCAAAAAATATCCTACCTACTTTTTCGTTAATACTAGCTATTCCATTTTGAGTCTGAAAAGGCACATAAGCCCCAGGATTAGCGAACATTTTTCTATGTACAAAACAAATCTTCTCAGTTTTACATAATATTTTGTTCCTTACACTACAGACAGAGGTTTACTGGCATGAGAAGCGATTTCCAGCAACTCATTTTGCTCAAATGGACCACAATTTCTGCTTTATGTTAAAAAAACAGAGCAGCATCACAAGAATTCCGAAGAGAACTGTTCTTCAAAACAAGTCTTCCACGTGTTGGGAGATTTGCATGGCAGATCTGAAGTAAAATCAAACCAATACAAAAATAAGGTGGTAATTGTTCCTCTGAGAGCTAAACAGATTTATCAGACTACAGTTAAACAAAATGCACTTGATTAATCTCTGGTTACGTCTGCACTTAAGACAGACTGTAAATTATTCTTCAGATGATACCAGACCAGAAATACAGATCAAAGACTGCTGAAGGATAGTCTTCCTCTGAACATACATAATTTAATAACAGCGAAGCTTGCTCTTGAATTTTGCATGAAGGTGCACGGTAAGAAAACCACGTGTGTCAGAATGGTCTGTTAGATCTGTGATTTTAAGGCAGGTGTCAATTTGAAGGAAGATTCTCCGAGGAATGCTGAGTGATTCTTAGTTATTTTCAAATGGTTACTCATGAAATGACACGGCTGTTGCTCAGCTCCTCCTTTCGGTCAATCTTTTTCCAAGAACTGAGAGGTAATGCTAAGAGAGAGATGATTCCATGGAAAGGTCATTGTTACTAGTTGGGGCATTGAGTCAGTTTTGGTCGCTAGAGAATGTGCTGGCTTTCCAATTCCATCCTTCCCAAACTACATGCTGTGTAATCAGTCAGAGCTGAGTGTGGCGACAGAGGTGATAAATCAGCCTGTTTGGGTTAGCAAAGACAAGGAAAGGCTAACTATGAAAACAGCAGCGATGGGAGAAAATTTGTCATTCTTTTTGTTAACTTCTGGGCCAGCTCTTGGACACTGTGTGTTTTTTTCACCTTGTCATCTTAAGGCATGATCAGAAATCAAATTACAGAGACCCATTTCATTATTGGTGACCACATTTTGCAGAGACAGAGCCTCAGTTGTGCATTAACCCACGGATTCACAAAGAAAACTTCTTAAGGATGCAACAGTCTAAAAACCACTCTGCAAAAATGTTTCCCTGGGACTCAACAGCTGTTCCTCCAAGGAAGGGACAGCACAACTAACCAGCAAAAACGTGATAGATCTGTAAAGCACTTGACATCTTATGAGACCAATGATTTCATGTCTTTCTGTAACAGTAACTTTTCAGTATTTTTACTTATGCTATTACGCAAAGCTCCAAAGCAGTTTCACTTTTGAAAAGCCTTGTATTTCCTTCTGTCTCATGCAATTTCCTCAGGAGGAGCAAAACGTTAACTGTACAAACAGCTTAATCAGCCAAAATGCATAGTGCTTCACCTCAAATTTTCACTTCAAAAAATACATAGCTAGTTTAACTTCAGTTCTGTTTAGGTATTCCCTTCTGCATTCTCTTACCATGTCAAACAAACAAACATACATAGTTCAGCAAAGGCATTAGATCACGGTTGGCAGCGTAGATCTATTTCCATCACATTAACTGTGTGATTGCAATAGCTGTCTTCAGCTGGGGCAGTTTCAAAGATGACAGAGAATGAAGAAAATACAGGATTTTGCGTGTCTCTGTGAAACATACAATACAATCCTCAGCCACAAGAGGAGGCAGCCTTAAAACATGCCTGAAAATTAAATCAGAAGTAGGGAAGTTTCACTTTAGCTAATTCAAACCATTCAGACGTAAATACAGAGCTACAAAATAAACTCAGTACAACAAAAGCCATAGCAAATGTAAGAGATTTCCAATTTGGTAAAGCAAAATATTTTACCTGCTAATCCTTTCATTAAAATAGTGCATTACCTCTTAAGACACAAATAGACAAGTACAGAAAATTTCTTTCTTGTATACCAGACTGCAACATCCAGGAGTTACTGTTGCTGGCTTCAAGGAAGATGGTAGACAACAAGGTACGCCCATATATTTAGTGAGACTGAAGTACTAGGTACCACTCCCAGCATAATTTTGTTAGAAGTTAAAGTTGTGTCCAAATGTTACATGCAGTACCAAGTAAGCTTTGAAAGGAAGAAAACAAAACAGTGTTATCTTCACAAAATATCCAGGGTTTTTTTTATTATTATTATTCTTTTAATCCTTGTTGTCTGCCTACCCAGAAATTTTCTGTGATCTGATCAGCCGTGTCACAAAAAAACTGCAGAATTAGGAGATTTCTTCTGCATTTCTGGAAAAGTCACTGCCAAGAAGCTGTAGCTTATCAGCTCCGAGTTTCCAACAAACAGTGTTGTTATACTCCTAATTTACCAAAATAATGACGTATCAGAGAACCACATCACTTGGTGTAAACAGAAAGCCTCAGCTGCGTTCAAACAAAACACATCCATGGAATTTTCATGGTACCATTATTCTCTTTGCTGCTATGCTCAATATAAATTCAGGAAAGACTTTCTGCAACTGCAACAGCTGGTGCAACACATAGGTGACGTTTTCGTTATAAAGCATCCTGGAAGGAAGCAAAGAGTTAACAAACCCGTGTAACGTTGAAAGCTCTTAACTATTATGGAAACCTCGTGTCCGCCAATATTGATAAGAGAGGTAGTGGCTTTATTTCTAACAGGGGAGGTTTAGGTCGGGTATTGGGCTACATTTCTTCTCCAGAAGGTGGTGATGCACTGACAGAGCTGGGATTCCCATCCCTGGGGGAGCTCAGAGGGGATGCAGGCAGAGGGCGCCGAGCCCTAAGCACACACAGCGCCGATTCTCTACCGGAGCTTACCCGCGTCCCCACAGGAGCCGCCGCAGCACCCGCCGCTCCCCGCGCCCCGCTTCCTCCTCTGCCCCCTCAGCCGCGCCTACCGCCAAGGCCTGGGGAAGCAGGGCTGATATCGCCTTCATTGAGACCGCAGCCCTCTCTGACACACACACACCAGCCCCCAAGGGGAAGAAATGCATTATTGAAACGTTTAATTGACTTTTGCCAAGTCTGGCGTTACAGCGACGACCGCGCTCCCCTCAAGACGACGAGCGACCGCCTCCCGCTCCTCCCCTCTGCCCCGTCGCCCCGACCCGCCACTCAAAATGGCGGCGGCCGAAGCTCCTGGAAAGGCTCGCTCTCTCTCCCCTCCCCCTCCCGATCTCCGTCATCGCGCGCGTCACGGCGCCGCGCAGCTCCCTCCCTCTCCCTCCCTTCTCCCATTGGCCGCCGGCCGCGGGCTCCTCGACCAATCGGCGGGCGCGGCCGGGCGGCCCAGAGCGAGGCTGCCCCTCTTTCCCCTCCCCCCTCCCCCCTTTCCCTCTCGCACCGTCCCTGGCTCCCGGCACGTTCGGCGCCCGGCAGCGGGGCAGCGCCGCCCCGAGCAGGCCGGCAGCGGCGCGGCGAGAGAACTCGGCCGCTGCTTAAAGCGGCCTCCGGTGGATTCGAGCTCCGGGGCCACGGGTCCGGGAGGAGAAAAAGGAGGAGGAGGCGGCGGAGGAGCAGCAACCGCGCTCCCTCCCACCTTCCCCCCCGCCATGGCCGACAACGAGAAACTGGACAACCAACGGCTGAAGAACTTCAAGAACAAAGGCCGCGACCTGGAGGTACGAGAGGAACCGCCCGGCTATGGCGGCGGGAAAGAGACGGAACGGCCGTGTGGCGTCTTTCCTTAATCCGCCGACGAGGGGCCCGCCGCGGGGCTGCGGCCTGCGCCGCCCGCCCAGCGAGGGAGGGACGGGAGGGAAGGGGAAGGGAGAGGCCGCGCTGCGCGCTCGGGTGCGGCCGTTGGGCTGCGCGCTTGGGGGAGGAGGCGCTGAGGGGCAGCGCGGGGCTCCCTCGGACGCGTGGGGCCTTCGCCTTCGCCCCGCGCGTCCGAGGGACCCCGCGCTGCCCCTCAGAGAGAGCGGGATGCGAGGGGGGGTTTGTGACTGAAGGAGCGCAGGAATCTCACTCCCCGGTTAAAAATAGGTCCCGTTACGCTGACTTGCAGTTCTGTGAGGAAGCTCGGACGCTTTGTTGTTTAAAAGTCATAGCGAGAGACTTGTTTTTATAAAGCGTTTCAGTTGGAGTACGCGGCTTCTCCAGGAAAAAAGCCAGAATGGCAGCGTGTGCGGCGTCATTGCTTTTTATTTTATTATTTGTGTTACTTGTATTTCTTTGGACGGAGAGTTCCCATTATATTCCTAAAGTGGAAAAAGCTGAGATGTGTTTTTCTGGGGATGGTCTGCTTTAAAACTCTGCAGCATTTTTATGGGTGATCTTGAGAGCAGCCTTTACTGCTGCAGTCTGCAGGTGAATCAGAATTAGTATAGGAGGGAAATAATGGATAAAGGAGGGCCTAAATCACTGTTCTGGATTTTTACCAAATCCAGATGTGAGCTTGCATACAGCTCCAAAGACTTCATCCTTCCTTTTGTAGTTCAGTGCCTTTTTAGGAGGAAGTTGTTCACACAGGAGGTTGTGATGCACTGGAACAGGTTGCCCAGGGAGGCTGTGGATGCCCCATCCCTGCAGGCATTCAAGGCCAGGCTGGATGTGGCTCTGGGCAGCCTGGTCTGCTGGTTGGTGACCTGCACACAGCAGGGGGTTGGAACTGGATGAGCATTGTGCTCCTTTTCAACCCAGGCCTCTCTGTGATTCTTTTATACCTGAGGCTCCTTTGTCATTGCTGTGAGGGCTGTACTGGCTGCTGTGGGTATGGAGCCGCCTTCTTAGCCACTGTTGTTGTAGGGGTGCAAGTAAGTGCTCAAATGAAGTATTTCATGATGGCAGTCCTCCCCTGAAGTGCAAACAGGAAAGCATGAAGGCATGCTCCTCCAGCTGTGTGTGTGGTAGGGTCGAGTTCTTGAGAAGCATGGGTTGGAGAAAGAAGTGGAAGAGGGCATGTTAGCTCTGGATGTGAGTGCCTGCTAGGCTGATGGGTCTGAGCTGTCCTTGAGTGTGGGACATAAAACACTTCTGTATTGGGCGTTGCTGAGGAAAACACGAGCATATCAGCATCCTGCAGCTCACACAAGATTGTACTGATAAGCTGAAGGGCTCAGTGGTGATTAATGGTCAGAAAATAGCCTTTATGATAAAAAATGTTAGCAGCTAAATATACTGAAAAAAGGGGTAGCAGCGGTAGGTTGATGAAAATAGATTTGGTGACTTGATTTCTGATGTAGAGCAGGATCCAGTGAATGAAAAGAGCCAGATGAATTCGTCCTGAAGATGCAGTGGAGCAGTTGCCAAGGAAGGAGCATTCAGAATTGGTTTCTACAAACTTGTAAATTGAGCTTGCTTGCTAATGGTTGTGTTAGTGCAAGGTGAGACTGCTTCAGAGCAGTTCAACAATCACATCAGAGCTTCTTCAGAGCCGAAGGTGACACTGGAGAATGCAGCTGTATGATGCCATCTGCCAAGGAAAGCAGTGCACCCTGATTTCTTCTCTTTGAGATGTTTTCTGACAAACAACACAAGTTTATCTGAGTGTTGCTGTTACTGAGTTTTTCAGAGCAGTCTGTTCCATTTCCAGCACTGATGATAGTACTGTGAAACTTATGGACTCCATCTCATCCTTGTGTGTTTTCCTTTCCTGGAAGGCAGAGCAGTGACAGGTGAACCAACAGCAGCTTCTTCATCAACCCAGCACTGCTTGCATAGGAAGTGACTTGAGGGAGCCCTGCTTTGATCAACTGCTCTTCAGTGGTGGTTTGTCTGTTGTGCAGAGGCTTCTGTGAGTCCTTGGCTTTCAGGTGCTCTTCAGAACCCGAGAGAAACTTTTCAGAGAGAAACTGAAGCCATGGGGCTGGCAGTTCTCTGTTGGGTTTGTTTTTGGGTGATTTTACTTTCTGGAGGGAGAATCCTTTTCCTTTTCCAGCAGTGTTGATGGGTTCACAGGGTTTTGAAGGCTGATCGTTACACATGACTTTTATTTTTTCCAAGTGAAGAAACTTTGTAGAAGTTGTGCCCAAGACTTTTTTGCTCGGAGTATCTGTTTTAATTCTACTATTCTCTCCCTGTTTCTGTTACATGTGTGCTTCTCCTGAATGAGGATGTGCTGCCATCCGAGTCATGACGCTGTTAGTTGTGACGATTCGGCTTTTTAAAAACCCTTATGGTTTCATTTCCCTTTACAATTGGTTTCCCAGCAATGCAGATTTCCACTCACTCTTTGAAATGATATAGCTGATCTCCTTCTTGGTTAGCAACAGTTTTTCCCTCTAGGACAAGGGAAAAACTCAAACAGGAGAGGTTTAGTTTGGATGTTAAGCAGCAGCTCTTCACCCAGAGGCATTGAGGCCCAGAGCTGCTGGGGCTGCCATCCCATGGCCACCTGTGCAGAGCCCATTGTAGGGAAATGGAGCTTATCTGCATCCAGGTGTGCTAGCTGCTGACCTTGTGTTGTTGATGTGACTTTTTGTAGGTGTACAGTTGAAGAGGCCATGCATGTAAGCAGCACTGAGCTCCTCTATTAACTGTGGTTTTGACTGGCCAGTTGGGCTCACATCCTCTAAAATCTGCACATCTCCTGACTGCTGGCTTTGGTGCTTTTAGTGTGGGACTCTTTGTACTTGGTAGTGACTCTTACCTGGCAGGTCTATGTGCTGCAGCTGCATTAGGTACACTCCTTTGCTTTGCCTTTTATTTAATGGGAAGCCGTTGGCCTGCAGGTGTTCCTCACTGCTGTCCTCTGCCTGTTGTTCTCCTGACAAAATGCATTTTTGGCCCTCCAGCAACAAAAGTTTCTGCCAGCAAAGCAGTGCAAGGCCATACCTTCTTTTCCACTCACTTCTTTTCCTCTTTTCCTTTTGACTCCTTCCTTCAAGAAGGTGTGATGCCTTGCCCAGAGCTGAAAGCTTGATTGTGATCTAATGTCCATTTCTTTCAATACAAATACTTATATACCCAAAAGTTGGGTTTTTAATCCTTCCAAGCTGTTCCTTATTGCTGGTCAGAAGCTCCCCTGGCTGCTTTTTCCCCCACATCCACTGTTAAAGCAGTCCCTCGTGCTCTGGGATTCCAGACTTTCTCTGGAAACGTTTCATTCACAGTAAAAATGCAGTTCTGTTGTTACTCATTCAGATTTTGAAGCACAGGACAAAATCGCTGTAGATCATTTTCTTTTTGTTAATACCTTTCACAAGTGAATGAATTTTTGTATATTTACACTTTTTCTGAATACTCTGAGTGGGACAGGATAAGGAGAATGTTTGTCCTTACTGTATGAAGGGTTGTACATGGATTTTGTTGGATGTTATTTTCTCAGTTGTAGTTTGGTTTTGCACATTATAGTTCAATTTTGCTTATTAGGTCTCTTAATTTGAACTTATTCATAAATGTGTTACCCAAGGCAGGGTAACTGTTATGGTTGAGGCTTTATGGCTTTCACGTTCCCTTTGCCTAAGCCTGGAGGGAGGTCAGTGCTGAGTACAGAACTGCTGGCTCAGGGTTTTGGCCTCATGTATTCTGGTGATGTGGGTATTCTTTTAGTGGGGGGAATAAACAACTAGTAATCTTGAATTGAGAAAGAGTTATAAATATCAGGCAATCCCAGTCTACTCTCTGTTAGCTTGCCGTGGCACTGTTATATCTTACAAACAGCATCATCTGATATTGCTCTTCAAGGTGCTTGTTTGTTCCTCGCTTTGGTTACTTCATCTCCTGTTGGATTTCTGCTCCTAGAGCGAAAATGAAATCTGGTGTGTATAAGTACTGTTCAAAGTGCATGAAGTTGAAAATAGTTGGGCAAAAATCACTTAACCCAGGTCCAGATCATAATGTACTTCTGTTTTGATTCTTTTCAGACTATGAGAAGACAAAGGAATGAAGTTGTCGTTGAGTTG